CACTCATCATGACAGTAAAATAGGGCATTCTAAGTCAATATACTGCAGTATTTCCTCTCTCAGTCAGTAGAAAATATGGTTAACACCCAGTCATGCATGAAAAAAAAATACCGTCATGTACCGTGAAACCGGTATAATTTTGAAAAATACCGTGATATAAATTTTTGGTCATACCGCCCAGCACTAGCTTACTGCTTACATAGTAAAATACCCTGATATTTTTTGGCATGGTATCATAATAATATTGTTTTTTGGGCATTTACCCATAGTAATACCGTATTTTTGGGCATGCACTATGGCAGTACCATGTTGTTCATCATTGTACCATAGCAATTTTATGTTTTTGAACATTGCACCCTAATAATATCACATTTTTGGACTTTTTTCCAACATGCCATATAGTAAGTATCCTTGCAAAAACTGTGGCTTTACCATGTTGTGTATATACACCAGGGATACACAAAGGCTGTAAAAACAGTAATATTGTGAAATGTTATTACATATTATTACATAAATATGATTACAATTTAAAAACTATATATATTTTTACAAATGTAATTTATTCCTGTGATCAAAACTGAATTTTCAGCATCATTACTCCAGTCTTCAGTGTCACAGGATCCTTCAGAAATAATTCTGATATGCTGCTTTGCTGCTCAAGAAACATTTATTTTTATTATCAATGTTGAAAACAGTTGTGCTGTTTAATATTTTTGTGGAAACAGTGATACCATTTTTTCAGTTTTTTTTTTTTGGACGATGACTAGAAAGTTAAAAAAGGCAGTATGTATTTGAAACAGATTTTTTGTAACTATGCATTAATGTATTATTTTCTTTAAAAAAAATAAAAAAATCTTACCGATCTTACTATCATGGTATTACCATGCCATCACTTTACCATGGTACCTCCACTATACTTTTTAAAAAAAGTTGTGTCAAAGTTTGTCAGTTCGTTGTTTTGCATATTTATGCATAAGACGTCTGATCATACTGTACTTCCATCTTCCTTTATGTCTTCCTCTCTGTTTTTGTCTGTAGAATGTGAAAAAGATGCGTTCTCGTGAGCAGAAGGAGAAGGGCGTCTATGAGGTTCTGGACTGGGTGGAGAAAAATAAACCACAGTACATACATCAGTTCTGGCGCTGTGTGTTTGAAGACCATATCCTGCAGCTCTACCCGACACTACGCACGCTCAGAAAAAGTCTGCTGGACGGTCGGTGGTTTTCACTATTATCAGCTTAATGTTATGTTATCTAGAGGCTCACGCTGCGTTACTATGCTATGACAGAGCAAGAATGCATTAATATATATGTACAGTATCGTTTTATTTTTTTCTTTGTCCCAGGCACTTTCAAATTTGATGAGAAACATCCGGATGTTGAGACACCAGCAGAGGAGGAAGAGAGTGAAGGAAAGGCAGAGAAAGGGAAGGAGAGGAAATACAAAAGAAAGAGAATTAAAGATGACAGAAGTAGTGAGGATAGTGATGATCTTGATCCTTCCTCTGCTTCCACACCCAGTCGGAAGAAACCAGGCAAAAAACCCTCATTCTGTGAGTCCCTGAACTACAGCAGGTCTAAGATCTCATCAGGCATACAGTTAAATAACACTAAAACTAAAGCCATTTAAAAAAAAAACATTTTTGTTACTTGCAATAAAGTAAACCTTAACTAAAATTATATATATATATATATATAACAGGAAACCAGGTGAGACACAGGGCCCATGACTGATCTAAAATATCCAGATGGAAATTTGTTGCCCATTCTCAATGGGAAAGTGCCCAAGCAACCTTGCTCAGCAGAGTTGCCCGACAACATTGCTCAAAAAGTTTCCCTGTGTATCATCCATCACCTTAAAGGAAAGTTTGCCCAAAAATGAAAATTTTCAAAAAAATTCAGGCAATCCAAGATGAAACTAACAAAACACAAAATTACTAAAATTGTACCTAAAATTAAAATTAAGAAAATATAAAAATTAAAATTAATTCAAAATATTAATAAAAACTATAATAATATTTCAGTGATACTAAAATAACACTTGTGTTTCCTGGTGCCTGATGTCCTATTCCTATATTTTCACTCTCTCCTGATCTGTGTTGCCTTCTCTCTCTTTCTCAGCATCTCCTGTGAAGAAAGGAGAAAAGCAGATTTGGAAGTGGCCTGTTTATAAAACTCATCTGCCTGTAACCTGTGGGGATAAAGAAGGCACTCTCTATCGAGACAAAATGCCCAGAGGTTCACCATCATTGAGTTTTTGCTATAATTTCTCTTAATTTTATTAGAGTGTGTGTTTATAATATTTGCCGAATGCATCCTATCCTTGTCTCCTGTAGGGGAAAAGTGTATTTTGTCTCAGGGACGCTGGTTCACCACAAATGATTTTGAAAAGTTTGCGGGGAAGGAAAAGTGCAAAAACTGGAAATTCAGCATCCGCTGCAGAAACACACCACTTAAGAAACTCATAGAAGTAAATAATGCAAGCACTTACAGATTGTTGGGATCTTTGTTAAAAAACAAGGATTTGGAAATTGTCCTTGGTTTTGCTGTAAACCTATCGTACACTCACAAATACTTTTTACTTAGATATTTTTAAATGAACATTTACTGTTTAGATAAGTAATTAGTCAATGCATTATCAATCTGTAGATTTTGACTGTTGTCAAATTTTAATTTATACATATACTGCCGTTCAAAAGTTTGGGATCAGTAAGTTTTTTTTATTACTTTTTAAAGACGTCTTTTATGCTCATCAAGGCTGCATTTATTTAATGATAAAAAATACAGAAAAAACAGTAATATTATGAAATATTATTACAATTTAAAATAAGTGTTCTATTTTAATATACTTTAAAATATAATTTATTTCTGTGATGCAAAGCTGAATTTTCAGCATCATTACTCCAGTCTTCAGTGTCACATTATCCTTCATTCTAATATGCTGATTTATTATCAATGTTGGAAACAGTTTTTGCTGCTTAATATTTTTTTGGAAACTGTGATACCTGTCGTGGAAATTCCCAATACTAATCTGACTTCACCACTGACAATTTGAATAACCTCCAGTTATTCATACAATATAATATAATACAATACTACAGTACTAGTACAGTACTACAGAATGTTCGGTGTAATTCCCGTCAAGAATATAATACAATATAATACTACAGTATCTCGAGGTAATTCCCTTCTCGAATACTTCTAATACAATTCCAATAATTCGAGGTAATTCCCCTCCTAAAGTATGGTGACGGCGTCCCATCAAGAAGCTACTATAACTACCTCAAACCGCACATGAGCACCAGGTCTTTAGCATCTATACACTCTCACCGCGAGAAAAAACAGTAATATTATGAAATATTATTGCAATTTAAAATAAGTGTTCTATTTTAATATACTTTAAGATATAATTTATTTCTGTGATGCAAAGCTGAATTTTCAGCATCATTACTCCAGTCTTCAGTGTCACATTATCCTTCATTCTAATATGCTGATTTATTATCAATGTTGGAAACAGTTTTTGCTGCTTAATATTTTTTTGGAAACTGTGATACCTGTCGTGGAAATTCCCAATACTAATCTGACTTCACCACTGACAATTTGAATAACCTCCAGTTATTCATACAATATAATATAATACAATACTACAGTACTAGTACAGTACTACAGAATGTTCGGTGTAATTCCCGTCAAGAATATAATACAATATAATACTACAGTATCTCGAGGTAATTCCCTTCTCGAATACTTCTAATACAATTCCAATAATTCGAGGTAATTCCCCTCCTAAAGTATGGTGACGGCGTCCCATCAAGAAGCTACTATAACTACCTCAAACCGCACATGAGCACCAGGTCTTTAGCATCTATACACTCTCACCGTGCTTCTCAGGTGTACGGTCCGACACAGGATCATTAATACTAACTCTGAGTATTACAGCCTCACCCCGAGTGCGAGTCTATAGTCTTTCAACACTATCACTGTCACTGCTGTGGTCCTCTGAGCGTAGAATCGTACTCGGTTACTAACGTAACCTCGGTTCCCTGAGATACGGGAACGAGTACTGCGTCGCTAGACGCTACGGGAAACTCCTTTTCTCCGATTTACTGAAGCCTTTTTTCAATCACAGCAGTGCATCTGCACGGCCATTGTTTCAGAAATGAACCAATGACGGCGCAGCAGAGCTGCGCGAGCCTATGGCGAAGCAGTGCGCCCGAGCCCGCCAAAATGGGCGGGGCATCTGGCTATATAAGCAGGTGCTCGGCATAGGATCACTAATTCATATCGACTGAAGCGATGACAGAGTCGTGCAGCATAATAGCACGGTTAGCTACGCAGTATTCGTTCCCGTATCTCAGGGAACCGAGGTTACGGTAGTAACCGAGTACGTTCCCTTTTAGATACTTCACTTTGTACTGCGTCGCTAGACGCTACGGGAACCGTGCTATGGTAGATGAATGACTTAAGTAATTGTCCAGGGCGTCCAGTAGGGGGCCCTGTAGATCAACTACAATGAAGCAGGCCATAGCCAGAGACCAGGATTCTTTTCGGAGTCAAGAGGAGGCAAAGAAATGGGCTAACTCATAGAGGTCGAGCCCGGCCTTACATAATCGTTCTTAGAGCTTCGCACAGCCTCGGAACTAGATAGGGCCGAGAGCGTGCTGGAAGCTAAGCCCAGACGTGGGAACCCCAGCAAGGATTAAATCCAGTCTTAGGGCGGGGATATGGTTCCTGGAGCGTTTTGAGCTCAGAGAGACAGTTAAGCAGAAAGGACCTGAGCCTGCAAAGCAGGGACGTCTAGGTTGTAGAACCTGACAAAGGTGGACGGCGAGGACCAGCCGGCCGCCGCACAAATTTCTGCAATGGACACACCACTGGACCATGCCCAGGATGAGGCCATGCCTCTCGTGGAATGTGCTCTGAACCCGATGGGGCATTGAAGGCCCAAGGAGGAGTATGCAAGAACTATTGCGTCAACTATCCAACGGGATAGTCTTTGCTTTGTGACCGGAAGCCCCTTGTAACCTTGTGCCTTTGTTCCCTGATTCGCCTGATGACCTGAGGTATCAGGGCGATCGGGGGAAAAGCGTAAAGGAGAAGGCTGGGCCAATCGTGGGCCAGCACATCCCTTTCCTTTGAAAAATAGATTAAGCAGTGAGAGTTGTCTTCTGAGGCGAAGAGGTCGACCTCTGCCTTCCCGAAGATCTCCCATATTCTCCGAACCGTCTGGGGGTGAAGCATCCACTCGCCAGAGGGGACGTTGCTCCGAGACAGCATGTCTGCTCCCTGGTTCAGTTTGCCCGGTATGTGTGCTGCTTTTAGGGAGCGCAAGTGGCAACGTGCCCACTCCAGTAGGCTCTTTGCCATACTGAAGAGGCGTGGGGAGGAAAGCCCGCCCTGGAGATTTATGTAGGATACTACCGTCATGTTGTCCGATCGGACTAAGACATGGCATCCTTCTAGATGTGGTAGGAAGGACTGTAAGGCCTGCCATACTGCCAGCATTTCCAGGCAGTTGATGTGCAGCTTTGTCTCTTCGCTCGACCACGCGCCAAAGGCTGGTCTGCCCGTATATTGATATGTCACTCCCTCAAAGGCGAATCTCAAGAAGCACCTGTGACGGGGGGCTATCTGAATGTGAAAGTAAGCGTCTTTCAGATCCAGAGAGAAGAACCAGTCCCCTGGGCGAATTAGCGAGAGGATCTGTTTCAAAGTTGTCATTCTGAATGCGCACTTTACTAGGGCGAGGTTCAAAATCCTGAGATCGAGGATGGGCCTGAGGCCGCCATCCTTTTTGGGGACGAGGAAGTAGCGGCTGTAAAAGCCTGACTCGCTCTGAGCTGGCAGGACGATTTCTATGGCCCGTTTCGCCAGCAGCACAGCCACCTCGGAACGAAGAATGCGAGCGTTCGTGTTGCCTACTAAGGTGGGGATCACACCACAGAAACGCGGGGGTTCTCGAGCGAATTGGAGTAGATCATCTCGTTTTATAATCCCCATAACCCACTTGGACACGCCGGGGATGGCCTGCCAGGCCTCGGCCCTTGTGGCAAGGGGTTGAATCGGTTCAGGCGGCGGGTCGCTGTGAAGGGACCCGGGGCTCGCCGTGTCTCTTTTTGAGTATGTTTGTGTTTTATTTTGTCCGCTATCACAGCGGTTGTACACTTGGGCGCTAGAACGGGCCCTTTGCATGCAATAAACACATTTTTCCCAGCACCCGGAACTGGACAGGGCGACTGGGAACACATACGAGGCAGTTTGGGGGGTGGTCCAGCCACAGCGAGACTTTGCCCCCTCCTCTTCCTTCCTGAGGGATCAGGATGGCTTCTGAGGCGCAGGATCCAGCACAACCTTGGGCCGGGGTCCCTGGCGCTTCGGAAAAAGGGTAGCGCTTTGCAGAGCGCGAGCGCTGCCTGGGCTCAGGCCGTGCAGAGGGCTGAGTCACAGGAGGCGTAGTCTTAACTGGCTGTTGAGTCGGCGCCGGCTTGGGGTGACTGGCAGCAGCTGCAGAACTGGAACGCTTCGGCAGGAAGTGTCGCATGGCTTGGGACGA